TATAGATGAACAAATTATTTTCATTTACGGATAAGTGAGTCTTGTTTGGGTTAATCATGGATAATCTAGCAGTATATTAATGGATGAAGTGAGTAATCTCAAGTAAACCCTGTGAAACCAAAGGGTATATATATCAGTTAAAAGAAGTTTTAAAGTATGCATTATTTTAAAGGTGGTACTTTAAAAAAAAAAAAAAAAAAAAAAAAAAAAAAAAATAAAAAATCAATAAAACTGAATAAGTTGAATTTAGTTTTACACTTTAAGACAATGAACTATGACTTAAGTTACAAAGCTATTCAAGCAGGACTTTACTTTCATGGTCAATGTTACAGCAGTTCTCCCATAAACTTTTTGCGTTGGAAGAGGAAAACTACAGGTAGGCAAACAGTTGATATTCCTGCAAAACAAGAGTTCTGTAAGATCAGACCCTGGGTTAAGCAGTCAGTATTTTCCACATATGGATGTTATGATTTACTCTTGGATGGAGATCAAATATACAGTCAAATTTTCTATATCAACAGTTATGGATACCTGATTTTTAACTTGAATTCATTTAGAAATGGACCTGCTTGGTCAAATAGTTTCAAAGTACTGGGGGAAGCTGACGGTGGTGGTGGTGGGGAGAAGCAGATATTCAGTTCTGTATTCCACTTTAGGCCAATCTTCAAATAGTCTCCCTTAGCTGACTGCTAAAAAAGAATCTTTTCCCTGTTAATGAGGACAACAAACAGGCTCAGATTCTTCCCATCTTTCGATGTAAGCCTCTACTCTTTCACTCACCAGCAGTAGAGGTTTGTTTGAATAAACAGATTTTTTTTTAATACAAGCATTCTGGAAAACACTTCCATAGCAAGTCAATACACCACAGCATATTTCAAAATTAAAACTGCACCCCTCCTGTGATCTGTCTGGCAACCTCTTCATCAGTTGTCTCCTCTTTCTCACGATCTTTGTTCCAGTCTTTCAGGCCTTCTGGAAGTGAAGTATCTTCATCTAAGCTGCCCGTGCCTTCAACAAATTCTTCATATGTAGATTTTTCTGCAAATGGTCTTGGGCCAAGTAATTCAACCATATCACTTTTATCCAGCACCTCCTTCTCCAGTAGTTGGAGAGCAACCTAAGCCAACAGAGAGGTAAGTTATACATATTCAATGTTTTACTTGAAAGAATTTACAGAGTAGGTTGTGTTTAGGTTTTATGTCAATTAATTTTGGAATGAAAATTGGAACCTGAAATAGAGTGTGCTTCATACAGCATGATTCTATAGCATGATGGAAGCAAAGATTTGTATTTTAAAATCTTACTGGTACCAAGTGCACTGCCTTGTTTATCAGAAATTGCTGTTTCAAAGCAATGCTGTGAAGGGCTGTGGAGAATGTTATGTTAAACCAAAAATAGACATTACATAATATTCAAAACTGCTCCTGTATCTTTACACACTGGACCATAAGTTTTAGTAGGTCAGAGTTAAGAACCTGTCAAGAATATGCTAGAATTAAGTTAAGAAGAATAAGAATTAAGTTAAGAATATACTATAAATTACAACAAATAATTATTGGTGAAGCTCTGCTCTTTAGAATACAATGCGTACAGTATCAAGAAAGTAGGGATACAAGATCGTAGGCTTAAGATTTTAAATTTCCTAGGTGAGTAGAATGAACATACATTGTGGCACCAAGTACATGCAAACCTGAGCTCTGACATTATTTGAAAGGACACACAATGGGATATGTTGCTTTGGTATATATATTTAAGAAAATATTTCATCAGAAAAAATGAAAACAAAGTGGGAGAAGATTACATGCTAAAAGGAAAACAAGTACGACTCACTCCTGTATTCTTGAGCAGAGAGGTTATTAGTGGTGTTAATCTGCAGTCAGTCAGAAGACAGGGTAAATATGCACCTTTATAGACTAAATTTATGTAACGGTGCATTATCTACTCTGCCTTCTCATTCTTGCGTTCTTACTTTTCACTACTGTTAGAAATGAAGCTTCTCCAAACTTCTTAAGTTTTGATATTCCTCTGAGATATTATGGCAATATCTTTTTATAGGGTAATAGCCATCTATTTTACCATTACTGATTCCCAAACAAGCTCCTGTATTTTTACAATGAAATCTGTTAGGTAATGCATACCCAGGAAAAACATCCAGCTTTTATATTAAGTTTTCGTGGTCTGGAAGT